AAGAATTTGGAGCATGCTTTATGGCTGGGGACCAGAGAAAAGCACAGCTGGTGGACTATAAGAGAAACGATCCCTTTTATATCCTCACCAAGTCTTAAAACCAAAACAAGGATTCAGATTCTAACGGATACATGCTTCTGGAGGAGAAAACTTATGCCTCATTAATTCAGAATACCTAACAGTCAGACCCTCTGCACCAAGTCCTATAAAAGTGATATTCCTGTGAAAAGTGTTTCTGGTTACCAGCAAAGATGAGGGAGCTCTCAATCTTAAGTTATTTTTGTTGGCTTGTTTGCTTTGGTTTGTTTCTCTGCTTTGAAAAAAACCAAGGTGGACACATAAATGTTGCAATGGATTGAATCTGGAATATTCCCAAAGGTTCTTGTTTTAAGCACTTGGGACCCAGCTGGTATCCCTGTTTGGGGAGGTGAGCCATGGGCGTGTCTTTGATAATTATTCTTGCCTCGGGTTCCAATCCAGCGCTCTACTTTCTGCTCTGCCAAGATGTGAGGAACGGCCCCCTCAACGTACACGGTCCTGTGCCATGATATCCCTGTTGTGAGAGACCACAGTCTTCAAATCCTCAAGGCAAAGTAAGCCTCAGCTTTGCTCAGGTATTTTGTCACAGCGACGAGAAAGTAACTAATACAAGTATAGACCTAGAAACGTCCGTGTAAACACACAGCTTTACATAAATTAGTGTGATGTTATACTAAGCCTTCTCATTTGAACTGCTATTTGTATGGCATGCTAGTATAAACATGTAAGGCTGGAGCCTTGCATGCATACACCTCCACTGGCCAACTACCTTCCCAGAATGCTACACCTAGAAGCCTGTCCAGGAAAGGAGTTTGTCAAAGTGGGAACTATTACAATAAAAATGTTTATATCTCTCCTTAATTGATCTATCTTATACATTTCTTATTTTCTTAGATCAGTTTTGTCAAATAAGACAGAAATATACTTTCTGAATTATTGCAATTATATTTCTCAGAATAGCTTATACCAATATGACAATATCGGTCTTTTTGACACATGGCAAGGTTCTAATCCATCCCAAGGAGGAAAAACTGGCTATTATTCAATGTAGTACATTCATCTCCATATACGAACCATGTATGCATGGACAGCTACATAGCTATAGAGGTTTCTATATTAGCACATGGAATCAAAGTAAACAGAAGCAATTTTTTTCAGTCTCTAGGTGAAAGGAATCACCCGAACAATTGTACCAGCTTATTATCATCCCCCCTCCAGAATGTACTGTGTGTAGATGCTCCAACTGCTTCCTAACCAACCTCTCAACCCTGTTTCTCGTGTACAATAAAACTTGGGCCTCCTTGGAGCAGAATAGGACAAAGGCTAACTTCTTCCCAGAACCTAGAAAAGGCTAATGCACCCAGTGGAATAATATTTCTAAGTAGTCACCCTTCCAGAATCAATATCCGCGCTGTCAGTGTGTGCATTAGCCTATACTTAAACAAAGAACGGCCCCTAGAGCCCTGTAATGACGCTGGGAGTGGATGGCTAGAATGGGCAAGATGATGCGGGGATGACTGTACTGGCTCTCCTCAAGCACGAGGCTTCCGGGATGTTACACAAGACTGTGATTCTTGTACTAGAATCATAGCACCCAGCTTCAGCCACTGACTCTTCAGCCAACAAACCTTCTTTTTATTTCTTGACTAAAGAGGTGAATTCATATCAGACCTTCTAGCCTATGAGAGAGGTCTGGCTTTTATTATTTACCTGGTATTGCCAGCAAATGCAAATATCTTAAGATTAACAGAATACTACAGATCTGGCTAATAAGACGGGTACAACGAACTTGAATCTCCAATGACTCTGGCAAGACCCACTTTTAGTGAGACTCCGTCATGCCTACTCTCATTCACGTAGCCTTTTCCATACACAGATCCAGCTAAAGCAATGTGTCGAGCCAGGGTGGTGGCAAAGGTCTGAGCGTCAGTTCCACGTTACTTAAACACCTATGGTCAGGGTAGGTATTCACAGCTGACCAAGATTCACGCTCATCCTTACAGTAAACTGATCTGCGTGGAGTGAGGTTGCATTCCACCTGATCTTCCAATCAGAATTAGGAGGGGTGGGGCATGTGTGAGAAAGTAGGAATGACTAAAACAGTTAAGGTGTGGTAAAACTGGAGGGGCTTAGAAAGCATGCAGGCTTTCCAGCCAGAATGCTCTGGCTTGGAATCCCAGCCCGGTCGTTTATAAGATATGTGACTTTTGCCCAATGTCTAACCTAAGAACTGATGCTGTAAAATATGAATACCAGCGCCCAGTCTTATGAAGAGAGACTGTTACCTTCTGCCTCGTAATGTCATCTGAAGAGCTAAACAAGCCAATACACAAAGCTTGGTCCAGTAAAACTGATAAATAATGAGTTGAATAAATATTAGTTATAGTTGCTATTATGATTATTATTTTTACTAGCCCCACTATGGCCTAGTTATCTGGAAAGAATGATTGAATTCATCATAACTTTGTAATTCAGTAACAAAATCCATAACTAATTGCAGAGAAGAGAGTAACTGCGTGTGAGACTTACACAGTCTGAACTTGGCCACATAGTCAACATGGTTTTGATAATATTGCAGTCATTATGGCACAACAAAATACTTGAAAAATCTAGAAAATTTCACTGAGGCACCAATAAATCCAGCCATGGAACAGTTTCTCTCTCCCTCCCCCATACACACACACACACACACACACACACACACACACACACACACACACACACACCATCCCTTGGGGATATATTAAAGCTACAGCAACTGAAATAACCTTCGCTAGTAATTAAGACACAGCTAATCAGAGTGCAAGCCAGGCTGTGGCCCTCGAAGAAACAGAACACCCGGGTGACAGCTCCTGCTATCAAGGCTTTGTTCTCCTGGAGCAAAAAGCACAAAAGCATAAAGTTGAGGAACTGTAGCTGCACGCTGTGGGGGCTGGGAGGATGACAGGCTGGCCTGCCCTGGGCGGATGTTCCACTAGCAACTGTGCAGCAGCCCGCACCCACCAGGGCCCTTCCCCACCCTCCGAGCATGACTTCACTTTTCGAACACTGCCTTTAAGGAATCTGGGCCCTGTGACTTCCAGTAATTGTACACTTCACCCACGATGATGCAGCTCAAAGCACCGGTGGACAAAAGAGGTAAGAATTAAGTCACGAGAAGAAAGCCCGTTCAAACACTGCCTTGAGTTATTTTATCACAACTAGCAACGCATGTTGCCAAACACGTCTTTTCTCACTGCTTGTCATTGGAAGCAACACTTCGGAGGGAGTCTGATGGGTGCTGGGCATGGTGTCCAGACTTGTACTTCAGCAGCCAGGCACACTTTCCCTTCCCCCATCACCATCTCGCTCCTCCCCTTCACCTTAGAGCTTCTGGCTGGACTGTGTTCACACCCAGCAGTCCCAGCAGAGCTTTCTGCTCACACTGCGTCATTAAAAAAAAAAAAAAAAGCAGGCAGTGAACATCCATGCTCCTAAGTGCTTGGGAGAAAGCCAGGCTGAGTTGATTACCTCTTCCATTCCATACAGCTGCATGCCAGTCAGTCATACATGCCTAAAAGACTGGGGACAGCATGTGTGTGGTGTGGGATAAACAAACTCATTAAAATGCAAGCTCTCCCACTTGAGCTAGTGCCTAATGGGACTGAGAGGCTCAACTCCACAGGAAAATAAAAAATCAATCCAAGCTGGCTAGAGATGTTGCTGTTCCTGCTTCTTGTGATGTATCTGTTTCCGGCTCCATCAACAGTCTAACCTAAATGAAAAGGAGCGAGCGCAAGGGTGCTATTCTTTCCAGTAAGACTCTATAAATAAAAACTGTGAACGGGACCAACCACACTGAAACACAAGACCACTCCCTGGCTGTAAGCAGGCAGGCTGATCAACTGAACTGACAGGGGCCTTCTTTCCCTCCCGGAGTAGACATCACTTGCACCAGGGAGATCCATTTCATTTCCCAAAACAAAAGGCGATACACTGTTCCCTACTGGCCTCTCAGACTTGCTTTTAGAAAATAATACAAGTGAAGATGCTTAAAGACGAGCTCTGGATTAACTGTAAACAAGGCATGTTTATTATTGAGTACTCAGGGTCCAGTTCCAGAATTGAGTTGATGTTATGAGTGCAGAGATTGGCATTCCTAACAAGTATGAAGGACCCTGACATTTATGCATCACACCAGTTTGGGGCTAAAGTTAAGCAAGAGACAGCAGTACCACCGGCCCTCCCAGAGTCTCTCGACTGGTTATTAGTGACTCTAACTGCCGCAGAGAGATGTGTTCCTCTCCCAGTAACAAACCAGCCTGCAAACAACTCCAGCTACAGCCCCTAACTATGGAGGACATGAATTGAGGACATTCTGTACAAATCAAAGGACATAAACAATTTATTTCATCTGGTTTCAGTCTTTATGCTTTTAATAGATTCTTTCTTGAACATGCAAGAGAATCCCTTTCACATGGTGGTTATGTCAAATGCTTATTCAGCGCTCATTCCTCGCCACGAAGAACCTGAACCCCAATGGAGGTAAATCCTGAATTCCATTCTGCAAGTCACTAAATATTTCATAAATCACAGAGGCAAATGGGACCAATTAGCCCTGCCCCATAAAAAAGAAACATATCTTTACAATGTTAAAATACCATGAACTACACATTTTAGAGCTTATGGAGGCTTTTGCAATAGAAAATTATCCTCTGTTTTTTTTTTTTTTTTTTAATCCAGGAGAACACTAAATATAACAGGCGGAGATGGCGTAAGAAATCCTTACACTTGGATTCTTACATGATGCTTACAGGCCTTTGTCTTAACACAGCAGCCTGAAAACAGAATTAGGCAAAACAACCCTCCTTTTCTCCGATCCGTTTTAAACAGACAACATCCCCCCATCTCTGCTTTAGCAGCCGCCCCCGACTAGTCAACGAAACAGCCATGCAATTAAGGCCCGGGCATTTAACACTCACCATCTCCTGCTCCGGGCGTCTTCTTTTGATGTTTACAGCACATCTGTAGGATGCAATACTAGGAGATGCCTTGTTTGACCTGCTGCATGATGCTGTGACATCAGTTCAGATGATGCAGCTCATTATGGGAAAGACTGCTGTTGCTATGGCAACTGGGATGTGCTAGGAATCCTTGCTGCATTTCCAGTGGAGCCTGAGACAATACGGAAGCTCTGTAAGAAACAGACAATATGCAAAATCTAGTCCAAAGGAAGAGGGTTCCTCATTGGACTAAAATCTGTTGAGTTTAAAAAGGGTTTTCCTAGAGGAATTTGGGGAAAAAAATTAAAATCACCTCTTTATTTGTTGCTACAGACCTAGAGAATAAGAATGGGAGTGGAATGTACATTCAGCACTAAGAAAATACAAACTCATATTCATGTTTCCCTATCAGGTGATTTGATCATTTCTTCTCTCTGGCTAGTGACAATACCTCTTTAAAAGTTACTAAAAAGAGTTTTAGTTCCTGTTCAATCAAAGACCAAAAGAACAAAGCAAGGAGAGAAAAAAAAAAAACAATTTAAAATGCAATAAACAGCTGACCAAGTGAGCCTGGTTCTCAAGAACACAGACTAATAATTCTCAAAACACGGGCCAATCCTCAGCCAGCTAAGCCTGCCCTGATGGTGTTCCCTGATGGACAGCAACCCACAGAACTTGCAGCTGCAGAACTCAGCTGCCACCTAACCTTCAGGGGCAGTGGGAAGGGGTTCCAGTCTAGGGACTGTTCCCTTGTCTGACAGAGAACAACTCTCACTCACAGGCAAAATGCAAGTATCTTTGGGGGTTTAAACACAGAACAAGTGAAAGACCTGTAGAAATCTCTTGTCAGGGCCACTCCCAATGCTGGGATTTGCTGTTCTCTGGATACAGTAAGACTGCCTATCCTAGAGACCACTCCCTCCCCTCCCCCACTGGGCACATTAAAAGAAGACTCAAGAAGGGATTTCTCCAGTTAGTCAAAGAAAAGGAAATCCAAAGTAATTACTTATTTCCACTCTGAAGCATAAACAAACATCATGCTGAGACACTGAGGCGAACTAAGCATGGGACATCTCTCGTATATTTAATACTTGCAGGCCACTGACAGAGAAAGGCAGGATCAAACTGACCTACAGCCATTCCATCTTTACAACTCTGAAGAGAAGCAACCTTCTGAAAACCCAGTATCTAATGAAGCAATTGTATCGCCCCCTCCTCGCTGAGATTTTAAACAGCCCTGTTCATCAGAAGCCTGGAGGGTGGGGCTGGGGAGACAGAAGGAACTAAGGCAGCCTCCCTGTGAAGAGAAACTGATCAAATGCAGGAGGGGTGCCAAAATCCTAGCAGGGTGCACAAGCAGCTTTACACAGAGCAGCCCTGCCCTGGATGGGAAGCCATGATTGTTCTGGCATTCCCTAATCAAAGAGAAGGAAGGGAAAAGCAGGAGGAGAAACTGTCTCCACCCTCAGCAGTGCAGCAGAGCTTGACTGCCCTGTCTTAGACCACACAGTGCACACACACACACACACACACACACACACACACACACACACACACAGGTTAGCACGGAGCCCCTGTAGAGCCAAAAGCACTGAGCTGGGGCTCAGCCGATCCACCTGGGATGCTATTCCCCCTAGAGTTCCTGTGTGCTGCTGCCCAATCCAGGAACCTCTCTGGGGCTCAGGGGTTTCATCTGAGGGAGGATGGACTTAGCTAACAATCATGGTTTGCTAATACTACTAAAAACGCTTCTTTGATGATACAGAGCAAAGCTGGACTGCCTCCGTGGCGGTGGGGGTAGGGGGATAAGAGGCTCAGAGTCAAGACTCTTGGGCCCTTCTTACCACAATTACTAACCCTACATACTATAGAGTACCACGGGCCTCTCTGAAGAACTCTTGGGCCTCCACAAAAAAAAAGTGTGAAAGCCATAGAGCTAGAACCAGATTAGCCTTTCCAGAGAAGAAATCTCAAGGCCCTGTAAAGAGGAGAGGACAGGCCAACAAATGTACAGATAAACGATAATGTCATTTTACCCAGTCATAAGGAGAATGAAATTATGTCATTTGCAGGAAAATGGGCAGAACTACAGATCAGGACATTAAGCAAAATAAGCTAGCCAAAGATAGACAAATTCACATTTTCTTTTATTCACAGAATATATATGATATATGTAAACATATCACATATATTATATATGCTATATTTATACATATGATATGTTTATATGTGATATATTTTCATATATGATATATTTCACACCTGAATATATTTTTCTGTCCACAGTTCCAGGCATGGTAGGAAAGAATGGATAGAAAAATAAATCTGACACCAGGTCAGATTTTTAACATCCTAGACTAGCTCACAACAGTAGCTCACAAGTTGACCCAGTTGGCTAAAAATGGTGACCATTTTTAGTAGAAGAAAGCCATAAAGTATGTCCTTGCTTTGTGAATGGGCCTATGGTAGTTCACTCTGGACTTCCCTGTGGCCTTTGCTCTGCTGCTCACCTCCTAGGATTGTTTTTGAAATTATATATGGCATATAAGGTATATAATGGTGTCTTAGTGTTCTATGGCTGTGAAGAAACACCATGACGGTGGAAGCTCTCACGAAAGAAAGCATTCAATTGGAGCTTGCTTACAGTTTCAAGAGGTTTAGCCCATTATCATGGCAGGGAGCAGGGGAGCACATAGGCAGACATGTTGCTGGAGAAGCAGCTGACTACATCTGGCTCCACAGTCAGCAGTGTTGTGGGATAATCTTTTTGTACACCATGAGGATGTGTCTTTTTTACCTCATCTGCCTAAAGCAACTTCTGATTGGTTGAATACAGAGCTGAACTTCCCATAGCTAGGCAGAAAATGATAGATGGGACTTCCAGGGAGACAGAGGAACTCAGGGGAAGAATCTGAGAGGCAGGGATTCATCAGCCAGACACAGAGGAAGTAGTAAGCAGAGGTGAGGAGCCACATGACAGAATGTAGCTTAATATAAACAGGTTAATTTAAGTTTTAAGATCTAGTTGGGAACAAGCCTAAGCTAAGGCCAAGCTTTCGTACTTTAAAATAAGTCTCTGTGTCATCATTCGGGAGCTGGTGGTCCAAAGAAAGACCCGCTACACAGCAGGGAGAGAAAGACATTGGGCCTGGCATAGGCTTTTGAAAGCTCAAAGCCCACCCCCAGTGACACACTTCCTCCAACAAGGCCACACCTACTCCAACAAGGCCACACCTCCTAATCTCTCTCAAACAGCGCCACTCCCTGATAATCAAGCATTCAAATATATGAGCCTATGGAGACCATTCCGACTCAAACTCCCACATTCTACTCCTTGGCCCCCTAGGCTTATAGCCATATCATAATCAAAAGATGCATTCAGTCCAACTTTAAAAGGCCCCATAGTTTTTCAGTCTCAAGACTGCTTCAAAGTCTTCAAAGTCTAAAGTCTCTTCTGAGATTCAAGGGGAGCTCTTAACTGTAACCCCTGTAAAATTAAAATTTAAAAGAAGATCTCATATTTCCAACATACATACAATGGCATAGAATATACATTATCATTTTCAAAGGGAGGAAAGGGAGCACAGTAAGGAAATACTGAACCAAAACAAGACCAAAATCCAGCTAGGCAAACTCCACACTCTGCATCTCCATGTCTGGTGTCAAAGTGCTCTTCAGATCTCCAACTCCTTTTGGCTTTGTTGACTGCAACACACTTCTCTCCTTTGGGCTGGTTCCACACCCAGTCTGCAGCTCTCCTTGGCAGGTATCCCACCACTCTGGCATCTCCATCTTGGGGTCTCCGGGGCAATTCATGATTCACATTCATGGCTTCATGCAATAGCCACTTTGGACCTCTACGCAGGGACATCCTTGACACACACCTGAACTTAGCAGCTTTCCTTAGTCACTGGGGGAGATTCCATAACCCCTTTCTTATATCCTTACTCTAAAGCCAGAACCACATGGCTTGGCTAAAACTGCCCTGTTCTTCAGCTTGCTGGGGCTGGAACTTCGTCCACTTGTTCAAAAAATATTTTCACCAGCTTTCTGTTTGCTACGATTTCCTTCACTGCTTAGCTTTTCTCTAGCTCCTTTTCACAAGTTGGATGCTTAGCTGGGTGGAGTCTTGCCCTGAGTTCTCCACTCTCTTTATTCCATTTAACATCACGCTTTTCTTTAAATTTTTGTTATCTCCTTGAGCACTAGACTTAGCTCCATTAGACTTCCTGATGCTCTTTTTCTCTTCAAACTATACATTTTGTATTTTTTCATCAACTTGCTCCTTTTCATAAAAGATCTGAATAAGATTGGTAGTGGCACAGGCCTTTAATCCCAGTTGGGCAAAAGCAGGCAAATACCTGTGAGTTCAAGGCCAGCCTGGTCTACAGGTGGAGTTCCAAGACAGTCAAGATTACACAGAGAAACCCTGTCTGAAAAAAATTGGGAAAAAAAAGAGCTGGGTGGTGATAGTGCACACCTTTAATCCCAGCCCTTGAGAGGCAGAGGCAGATGGAGCTCTGTGAGTTCAAGGCCAGCCTGGTCTACAGAGTGAGTCACAAGACAGGCTCCAAAGCTACACAGAGAAACCTTATCTCGAAAAAAACCAAAAACAGAAAAGAAAAAAGAAAAAAGCTTGACAACTACTAAGCTATTTTGAAATTTCCTCTGCCAATGCCATTAATCCCAAACTCTTCAATTTAGCCTATGGCAGACTTTTTGTACAAGGGAAGAAAGCAGCCACATTCTTTGCCAAAATATTACAAGAATGGTCTCTAGGCCACTTTCTAATATTCTTCCCCTCTGAAACTTCTTGAACTGGGTCCCCACAGTTTCAATCACCCTTAGCACCACTGTCTTCCATGTTCCTACTAGAATGGCCCACTAAGCCCAGCTTAACACATTCAACTAATTTCCTAATCAAAGTTCCGAAGTCCACATTCTACCAGCAAGCAGCATGGGCTGGACTGTCACAGCAATACCCCACTCCCTGGTACCAACTTCTGCTTTAGTGAGTGTTCTGTTGCTATGCAGAAACACCAAGACCATGACAACTCTAATAAAAGAAGGCACTTAATTGGAACTTGATTACAGTTTCAGAGGTTTAGTCCATCATCATGGCAGAGAGCATGACAGCATGCAGGCAGACATGTTGCTGGAGAAGTAGCT